TATATCGTAACAAACACCATCCTTCCTTAAACAACGGCAGCTGTATGAAATTTTGATAGATTCTTTGCTTAATCGGTACAGGAATTGGATGAGAAAATCTTGACAAGCCATGACTTTGTGCGAATTCCGACCAGAAGTCAACAAAGTAACGTAATGAACTCGCTTTATCAACTTCGTTGGCTTTGCAAATGAGAATTGTGCAAAAGCTGTTGTCCAATGTCGCGGACATCAATTTTCTTGTTGGTCTTGTCTTAATAGTTCATTTATTCTAAAGTGGAATCATTGAGTCTAAACTCTATAAACATATTAATTTGAAAAAAAAAAATCATAAAATGGTTTGAAGAAAATAAAATGGTTTCAATCATGACGATTATTTTTCGCCCAAGACTGAATAGCTCATAATAACTATGAGTCCTGGTTTGATGGGGATTAAAATTTAAATCTTAATCTAATTCAAAATCAATAATTAATCTGGACCACATATTTTATGAGATTTACAATTTTTTAAACATACATTTCTTCAACTTTTATAAAATTTACTAAAAATTTGATTTTAATATGTGCCAAACAAGGGCTCGACTATTTCCTTTTTATGGTTGGGTGATAATGCTAAATCGAAGACTAATCATTAATTTATGATGACACAACAAACCATCCTCCCCAATCAAATAAAATCCCGATAGAATACTTGAAAAACGAGACAAATTTGATATGTCAATGCCTCTGTCTGTATCTATTAGGTCGAAAATCGTCAATTGCTGCATAAGAATTTCTTTTTATCAATCTATATTCCTGAAGTGAGTACTAGTCACTACGTGAAAGCTAGAAGCTGAGCTAATCGAATCCGTACTTCTTTTCTTATTTTAAAACCTTTGTCCTATAGCCAATGACTCATTTGGCCCAAGTATCCATACTCGATCATACACAATTGTTGCGACCAAACTAATCGGAAACATGTCACCTATTTTAATTTTAGACCACTACTTCCATGCAAGCCACATGTTCGAACCCATACACTTGTAAAAATTAATCAAATATTTTAAGATTTTAATACAAGTCCTTTCTTCCCTTCTAGATGAAATACACTTTCAAGCCGGCACATGGAGCCACATAACCCCCTTCCTGTTTCATGAGCCACGTGGAGATGCGTGCCGACTTAGAAATCCATTATTATTTTCAAATTTTCTTAATACATGATTAAAACAGTCCAAATATTTTATGTTATAAATAAATTTCGTAGTATGTACGTGGTGGAGGAAGTTTAGAAAATTGCACCAACTGCCCAGTATTTGAAAAATATTCACACAATACTCGTTTTTTTATTCCTTAATTACTATAAAATTTAGAAAAAATTGCAACCGCGGTCCCAAATCTTTTTCTTTTTTGCAGATTTTACCTCAACCTTCACTTTGTATCACCACGAGTCCCAAACCTTTGAGAGATTCTCACCGGAGGTCCATATGCCTTTTCTATATGCTTGACAAACACCAAAATCCCCAATTCTTGCCCTTTCCAACTCTGCGAATATAGAATCTTTGTCCAACCAAGAAATCTCAAGAACTTCCCAAAGATTAATTCTTAACAAATTTACAACAAACGCCATAACCATAGTATCATTCGAAAATTCGATCTTTTAGGTCTCAGTTTTGCTGTGATTAGGACTTCGTAGTTAATTTGTAAACCCTAATCTGAAGTTCCTACATCAAACCACAACAAATAATTATGTGTTGTGTGTTTGTGTTGTGTTGAGATGTTTTCACCGTGTCAATGTTCATTGTGTAGGTTTAGGGTTGGGCAAAATGTCCGAACTGGAATCGAGCGGGTTTTTTAAAATGAAATACCTGAACGGGTATTCGACTCAAGCCCCGAATGGTTTGGTTCGGTTCTCGGTTCTCGACCAAGAACAGAATAAGAACC